GTTAAACATGATGAGCAGGAATACTGCCAAGTGGGTTGAGGAATACGATGATAATGGCATGTGGTGCCGTGATAGAGAAGTATCTGAACAAAACGACAATTTATATTATATTCTGAATGTGGTTGATAGGTGCGAGTTGTCCAATGGGTTTCGTTTTATTAAAGAAATGCTATTGCAGTATCATAATTTCAAAATGCAATGCGCATATCAAAAATTGACAGAGAACAATGTTAAGGTATTGAGTGTCAAATGCGACGCTTTTGTCGTGGACTGTTCGGGTTTTAATAAGTTTGGTTTGAGAAAGACTCAGCAGTTGCTAGATTTTCACGATGGGATCGGTGGGTGGAAATTAGCCAAGACTCACGATGAGATCCATCATACAGGAAAGCAGTTGTATGAACAGAAGAAGTGTGAATATGTTGAGATCCCGATTGTCAAAAGTAAGAGAGTTAACATCATTAATGAGTATGATGAAAATGAATTGGTTGAACTTGTTGAGAAATATAGGTGCTTGATGATTAAGGCTAAATTTGCAGGAGCGGGGAAGTCCACCATCTGCAAGAACATGGAGAGACTCAAGGGTTATAAAGTGTTGTTCGTGGTTCCTACCAATAATCTGGGTTTGGAGTGCGAAGTGGAAAGCGTCACTGTAAATAAATTCTTCGGTATAGCAGTCAATGACGAGAAGCTAGATAAATACGATCATTCGATGTTTGATGTCATTGTGTTTGATGAGATTTGTTTTAATAATACCTTTGTATTGGCAAAAATTAAGGGCTTTGTTGAGCAGTTCAAGGACAGTAAAATAATGTTGGCAACCGGTGACGCCAAGCAGTTGAGCCCCATAAAAGCACTGACTAACACTAAGAAACACGAGATTTATATGAATGAATGTATTGACAGCATTTTTCCTCATCATTTGTTTTTGGAAGAGTGCAAGCGATTGAAGACTCAGGAGGACAAGGATAAACTTAAAAGTATTTATGCCGACATCTTTGAGCATGAGTTGTCTCTACATGATGTCATCAATAAGTATTTTAAATATACTGATGACATCACAGGAACAGAAAGCAATGTCGCATATTTAAATAACACTTGTAGAGAGGTTTCAAGGCAGATCAGAAAACGACAGGGCAAACAAAATGAGTTTGAAGTCGGCGAGATCATGATATGCAGAGAGTATAGGAAGACAAAAACCTATAAGTTAAATGTGAATTTTAGGTATGAGATAATTAATATTTCCGATCCTTGGATTACCATTGCTAATATCAAAACACGAGAAGAGATTACATTACATATTGGTATCTTGAGAAGTCATTTTATCTTTGCCTTCTGTTATACTTGTCATTCTGTTCAGGGGTGTTCCATTGATGACGATGTCACCATTTTTGATTGGAACCATCATCTGATAACTCGCGAGTGGCTTTGGACGGGAATCACTCGGGCAAGGGATTTAAACAGAGTAAAATTTTACAAATACAGTAGTGATTTAAATGAAGAGTTTAACGCAAAATGCATTATGAATTATTTTGATAGAAAGGTGTTAGCATACAAGGAACAGGATCGTAAAAATGGCTTTGACATTCCAAAAGAAAATTATGTAGATGCCGAATGGTTGAAGGACAATGTCAACGGAAAGTGTGCAAATTGTGGCTGTGGCTTCGTGTTGTCAATGGATTCTGGCAATATAAACTCTAATTTGACTTGTCAAAGGTTATGCAATGATCTTCCCCATGCAAAGGATAATGTCATTGCCTTCTGTGCTTCTTGTAATAGATGCTTCAGTGATAAAATAACATATTGATATTTATTTTATTTTATAGTATTATATATATGAGTGAAAAAGACAAGATAATCAGTGAGGTCTACTACGATCAGGCTGGGTTTGGTAGCATCGCCACCACTTACAAAGATGCAAAAAAGAAAGATGCATCCATAACAATGCAAGATGTCAAGGAGTGGTTTCAAGAGAACGTGGAACGGAAAAAACAACTGTCTGGATACAATTCGTTTATTGCCCCTGATATCAACTTTGAATATCAATTGGATCTGTTTTTTATATCAAAAAATGATTTAGATAATCAAAAATATAGGATAGGCTTATTGCTTATTGATGTATTTTCCCGCAAAGCCGTGGTGGTGCCTATTGCATCCAAGCAACCTGCCGACATCACGGCTGGGATCATGGAGGCATTAAACAAAATGGGAGGGAAACCCAAATTAATTTATTCGGATGACGAGGGGAGTCTCAATACCCAAGATCTTGTCGATTTTTTCAAGGACGAAGGGATCCAAAACTATAAAACACGAGGGCACCCCCATTTCGCCGAGCGTTTCATTCGCACGTTCAAGGACATGCTTTTCAAGAGGGTTGATGCAGACGAGAAAAAGGGAAAGGTTAATATACAATGGGTTGATTATATCCCCGAGATCATGCTGACATACAACAGTAAAATGGTTCATTCTGCCCACGATATGACTCCAAACGATGCCCACAAAAAGGGAAACCATCTTGAGGTCAAGATGAAGCTTGAGATGAACAGAATCAAAACCCGTAAATATCCCCCTGTTAGGGTTGGCGATGAGGTCAAAATATACCGCAAAAAAGGGATTTCCGAGAAAGAAAGAACGAGCTCATGGTCAGCAAACAAGTTCACAATTGAAAGGATTGAGCGAAAACTTGGACAAGACCATTATTATGTCCAAGGTGTGACTCGTGCTTATTTGAGATCGGAAATTCTGAAGGTTTGAAAAAATAATATCTAAACGGTTCTAATAGCTGATGAATCTATTAGAACTGTTTAGTGGGACAGGGTCGGTCGGTCGCATCGCCCGTGATCTGGGGTTCAATGTCATTTCACTGGATTTGAAGGGCGCTGACATAAACCAAGATATTTTACATTGGGATTACAAACAGTTTGATCGGAATCACTTTGACATAATTTGGGCTTCTCCCCCGTGCACTGAATACAGTAGAGCCAAGACAACAGGGATCCGCAAAATGGACTATGCAAATTCCATTGTTTTGGAGACCCTTGAGATCATTGAGTATTTTAAGCCCCGTTATTGGTTTATTGGAAAGGGCAATGACATTGAGATGTAGATATGCCTGACCCAGCATCACCCTAGCGCAAGGGGTATCTTGGAAAAATCAACCTTGATTTTTCAGGAAAATCAACCCTGATTTTCAGAAACTAGCACTCAATTCAGTGGAGATGAGGGTTCCCTAAATCAACACTGATTTTTTCATGGTTTCCCTATCATGCTGAGCGCTCAAGGTGGTTCTGACATTGCATGAACAAGTCAAACCCACACACACGTCGTGCGTGGAAGCATCGGCTGAGAGATGAAAAAGCACGGAAGACTTCTATGACGAGGATGAAGAATTTAGCGATAATGAAAGCACGGCTAGCTATTATTGAGATGAATGTTTCAGTTCTTGATTATACTATAGTTACAACATATAAGATCTTATATGTTGTAATTTTAGTTTAATTTTCCCGTATAAGCCGTGGGGGTGCTTTCCTACATAGGCCTTTCCCATCCGCATTTTGCCATCCATATTTTACTGGGATTGTTTTCAAGATTTGGGTTAACGGTTTTAATTCTCCCTTTTCCATTGGTTAACCATTTTTCGGGGAGTGATAATTTGTTGAAAATAGGGTTGTAGCCATCTAAAGGCAAGGTGTCCTACTATAGTATGGAGAAAAAACTGTGTTCAAGATGTAGATACGAGAAAGGTGAAGATAGTTTCGTGTATGGACTCAAAAATTGCGATAAATGCATTGATCAAAAACGGGACTATCGGACACGCACTGTAGACAAGAGGAAAGAATACCGGAAACAGTATCTTGAAGCAAATCGCGAGGAAATTAATCAGAAGCGTAGAGAGAAAACAGCGAATAATGGATATTTGTATTGCCATGTTTGTGAAAGAAGAGTGAACCCAGAAACTTGGGACTTCCATTTGGTTGGAGGTTGTCACCAAGATAATATACTCAAACACTTGAAAGCAGATTATGAACGATTAGTTGAAGAAGCACCTACACAAGAATTCAAGGACAAATATTTTCAAGAAGGTCAAGAGAGGATACAAGAACTCAAAATGACAATGCCTTTGTATAATCCAGCTTTGCGAAGAAAGAAAGTTGATCAGGCTGATGGTGGTGAATTGGACTAAAAAATGAAGTTGATCATTAGAACATTATTTTTCTAATGATTAACTTAGAGGGTTGTTCAATTTGGTGGTTTTGAATGGTGTAATTTGATAAGTGGCTTTGAAAAGTGCTTGAAAGTGTGGGGGGGGGGTATGGGAAAAAATGCCATCCGACGGACGGGAAAGCACTAGTCTAACTGTTGTTGGGGGGGTTGTTGGGGGAGGGGGACATCATGGAACCATCGTTTTGCCATCGTTTAACCTGGAGTCCTTGTCCACTCAGGAAGTGAGCTAAAAGGGGACAACACAAAAACGACATGGGGGTTGATCAAAACAAGCCTTAAACCATCTAAACATGTTCGGACCCCGAATGACGATGGGTAGCTTTCCCCCCACATGCTTAGATGGTTCAAGGATATCACCACATGTGTTTGTTGGTAATTTAAGGGTCCTTTTGTTGATCGTGATTCCTTTTACCTCAAGGCAGCGAACCAAGGGGATTCCCACCCAATAGAAAACCCAGAAAAAGTGTTGGCCTACTATAGTGGCGAAGCTTCTGGGATCTACTGGGGCATGTTGAGAATGGTATACAGTTTTGTTGAGATTGGCTTCAGGGAAATTCCCGTGTTTTGTTGAGGCTACCCTCCGGTCCCCTTTTAGACGAAAATCGCTTTGCAGGGTCTCGCAGTCCGGTTTCATGTTAGGGCAATTACCCATTGTAAGGTTGGTGTCAAAGAAAGCGAAAGGAAGCCCGTTTGCGCCACTTCTGTCAATTTCGAATCCCTAGTTTTACACTTACAACAAAAATCACGATCGCGACATGTACCAAAAGAAGCGCGCTGAGGGGAAGGCGTTTTGCGAGAGGAGGACCAATGGGTGAGTATCTCTGGGTTTGTTGGGTCCCTTGAGTGCTTGTCTCACTCCCCGAGTTCCTGGAGTTTAACAACTTTTTGGGAAGACCTTTTTGTGAGAAACATAAGTTTGGACTTTTCTTTGGCCAGTCCAGGAAATGAGTTGTATACGCTTGTTGGCTCGGTTCAAACATCAAACAATTGGCGGGAATATTCGAGTCATTCGAGGTTTAGCACATCCCATGGTTCAGCATTCGAGCGAGGACCTGCTCCGTTTGCTGAAGAACAGCCTTGAGGAGGACGAGGAAGCCGAGGACGACATCCGCCAGGCCATCGGACGAGGGAGCCAGTCGTTTTGAAATGAAGAGATGCGGCCGGCCCTTCAGTTTTGGGTAGGCCCTACCAGGTTTTGCTTGTGACAGAAGTTCCCATTGATTCCTGCCTACGTAGTTTATGGCGAGCTCACCTGGTGGTAAAACGTGTTTCAGGTTTTGGACATATTGCAAAAAAGGCAGACCACAAAAAAATCACTCCCCGTTCAAAGATGACCATCTGCAAATGCCTGGGTACGGTGTTTTTTTTTGGGGGGGTCTCCATTGGAAGGCCTTTCGGGAGCTTCTGAAGCGCATCGCCGGGCCCCACGCCTCGGTGGCCAGCCGTAAGGAGGCGATTCACCGATCCGAAATCGAAAACGAAGGGAAGGCCCATGGAGCCATTAGCAAGGCGGATTTTTGAGTTCCAAGCCCCCCAAAAAGGGGAAAACAATGGAACACACCATCATTGAGCCGTTTCTAGCAAGGCGATGTTTGAGTTTTCGGGCCCCGGAAAGGGGAAATCGCCAACCATCATCTTGGGGCAACCCATGTTTGATGGGTTTCAGGGTGGTACTTGGATTCGGATCGCCAGCTGCGAATCGCTTTTCCCCCAGCTGTGACTGTTTGTGGGGTAACGCACAGATGGAAAGAAGAGGCACAGCTTTGCTGAGTTTTGTGTTGCGAAAGGTTTTATTTTGAGGCCCCAAATCCTCCACCACCCTCTTGTTGGATAGAGTGTCACGGATTTTGGGTGCGCTCATTCAGAGACCATGACTTGCCTAAGTGCTTAGCTTAAAAATGGCCGGATTTTAGTTTTGCTCAGCGCGCGTAGCTTGGCAGGTCCTGGAGTTTCTGGCGAGCCTGCAAGGGGCCGGGGGCCCCCTTGCGCGACAGATTTGCGGAAGTCCCTGAGCTTCTGGACAAAAGAGACTTTCTGGGACCGTTTTAGTTGCTTTGGTTTTTTCTTGGCAGTGCCCTTTTATCCTTTTTTTGGGGGAGGTGCCCTCGAATCCTTCATGGGGGAAGGGATCCTTCCAGACTGGCAGGTGGTGGCCAGTGACAAGGACCTGAAAACCGTGAAGAAGAAGGTGCGGGCACTTTTTGGGTGCCAGAATTCGCCTAGGGCGGATCCCTCCCAGATCCCTGCCGCTAGTGACCAGAATTTCATTTATAAGCGGAACCCAGTTGGCACTTGCCACTAAAATGGGTAAGCAGACAATTTCCTTTTGGTTTTTACAGGTTGTTTCCCTTGGTTACCTGCTATACATGTAAATGCCATCACTGGGTAGGCTTTAACTGGGGGTTTGCCTTGGTTACCTCTGGCTTGCCTGGAAGCATTGTGGTTGGTAGGGCTTCCGAAATTGTAGGCTTGTTTTTTGAGGCTACCCTTTTAAAAGGTTGGTTTAAAGGCAACCCAATACCAAGAGGAAAGCACGCCAGTTTGGGACACCCTGTTTTGACATGCTTGTTCAGTGAAAAGGCCCTTTGTTCAGGGTTCTATCATTGCCCCTCTCATAATGGGGGTGATGCTTTTGGGGGGAAACATGTGAAGGGTGTGAAAAGCGCCCCTTGCTCGAGCGAGAAAAGGTACCTGGCCATGAATTGGGTGTGTCCTTTTTTGAGAAACGTTACCCTTTTCGGGGTTGTTGGTTTTTCCGGAAACCCGAAGCTAGGTCCCCAGTAGTGCCCTTTTACCTCTCTTTTTTAAAGAGGAGGGTTCCTCTGCTAAAATAGATTACAGAAAAAAGTTGGTACCCATATTCTAACCTCTCTACTGGAGGACCTAGGAAGGACACAAACCATTTTGGGGAGGTCCAAATCCATCGACGAGCCATGCCCACATTTGAGCCACGCGCGCGGGACTGGCCAGGCTGCGAATCCAAAGCCCACGCAGCGATCCCAGACGTGACAGCCCCATGTCTGGGGCCTTTTTCAGGTTTGGCCAACGGAAGAACTTAGATGGGTGCGTGGTTTGTTCGATGCCTTTTTTGTGGCGTTGCTGCCTTGAAGCAAACCAAAAAAGGACAGCCAATCGATTGGTTGTTTTTTTTTGGGTGGGGGGGAGGTCCAAAGTTTGTTGTGATCGCCCATTTTGACAAGTTCCCGAAAGATATGCCCGAGTGAAAAGTGCTCAGGCTTCTCCGGTCATCTCCTGCAGTCAGTCCCAGAGAAGAGATCAAGGAGGCCGACCAAATCAACACGAAGTCGATCGCCAGTCGGGTGTGTCTTACCCGTCTTACCCTTTGCAGGTTGGTTTAACGGGAAACCCACACGAATACCTCAACTTTTTGGGGAAAACGGGTGTCATTGTTTTGATGGAAGGATTCGATTCCCCAAGGTAAATTCCGTAGCGAACGTTATGGTTTCGCTACTGCGGTAACTCATTCTGTGGTGAGATCGAAAGGATTTGGCTGTGGGTCAAAACCAATGAAACAATTTGTGGGTAGGTGCACCACCCATTTTAGTCTATTTTAGTGGGGATTGGGATGCTCACTGGGGGTACGGGCTTTTGACCCATGGCCATTTCGGGTCACCATTCACGGTGTGTCATCCGACCTCCTTCCCAGGAAGCGAGCCCCGCGTCCAAGGCGCAGGAAGCGATTGCTTCAGCATGGAAGCCAATGAAAGCAGAACAACAACGCATTGGGTGTGTCGTTGTTTGGTTCTCCTGTTGGTTCCTCAATAAAACCAACCAAATGGAGGGTTCCCCCCAAAAGGCACATCCACATCATTTGTTGGGGCCGTTGTTGGGTTCCATGGCGACAACCATCGCAATCGTGGTTCGTGCAGCTTTCCAGGAGCGGCGGGCAAGCGGCAGGCCACCAACTGAGTCGAACGAGGAACCCAAAGCAAAGCAAATCGAAGGAGATTCCTATGAGAGTTGGGTCTGCTTTTGGAATTGGGGCCCCGAAATGGTGGACATCAGAGTGCGGGTATTCATGTCCCCGAACCAGATAGGTGCTTCCAACTCCACCTGGACCCTCAATGGTGAAACGAGGAATCGGTCCTGTGGTGGTCCAGGTTGGTAGCCAACAACTTGTTTGTGGGGTTTTCTATTGGGCGGTTCGCTTGGTGACCGAATATGCAGTGAAATGGAATCAGTGGGAACTGAGGGAGACCCACCAGGTGTGCTTTGACACCAGGCGGATGCCGACAATGATCCCAGAGGAGGAGGACAACAAAGATTCTGCTCGGGCCCCTTCTCTCTACCGCTATTGGGTTGGATCTTTAGACTTTAACTTTTGGATTCCCTTCATATTTCCTTTTAGCCAGCAAAAGTTAAACTTTTTGCTGGGGGATCTACAGCACCCAAGTTCTGGGTGGGCGTGAGCTTAGCCTTTGGAAGCCACGAAAGGAACGGGTCTTTTTGTTTTGGGGGGGAGTCCCTTGTTGTGACACATACCCATGCGTTTTGTGGTGATCCCTACCCTGGTTTGATTGGGGGAGGGGTTTTCTACGAGTCGAATCTCGACTCGTGCAGTTTGATAGGGACACCACCAAGATGCCGGGAGTTTGCCAAAAGGATTGCTGAACACCGAGGGTATGACTCCGTTTACCCACGAGAAAAGAAGCACCATGAAACTGGCCAGCTAAGCAAGGACAGTCCTATGGTTCCAATCTTCCGACCCCCCAAAATGGCGGGGGTTCCTTTTTATTGTCCCTTTAAAACGGTTTCCCAGGGTACACCTCGAAGAAAGCTTAAAGGGAACCACATGGTCTGCGTTTCCATGCCCGTCTCTCAGCTCAACAAAGTGGCCCACAGCTGCAGGCCAGGGACACCTTGGCGGCCGGCCTCGCTCGGAGTGTGCGCTCAGCCCTTAGACCCGAGTCCCCGAAAACGAGGCGTTAGCTTTGGGGTGCTCCAGAGCTCCAGTGGATGGCTTCCCTTCTGTCCTTGGGAGGGCGTACCGTTAAAATCAACAATACCCCAACAAAGAGTGTCTTTTCTCCCATGGCCACTTTGGGTCTGGGATTTGAGTTGCAAGGACATGCAGGAAGTGAGATACAGACAAATTGCGCACACTGGATCCCTTCTTGGGCACAAGGGACACTTTGTGGAGGGGCCCCCACGTTTTCGCAGCTGGGGGGGGTGTCGTGAGCGAATCGGCGGGATCATGAAATTGGGACATATTTTAACAAGCTAGGATACTTTTTTGGAAGCGACGGTTCCCCTTTTCGAGGTGTTGAAGAAGAAGGCCATCAACACACCACCCACATGTCCTAAGAAGGGGGACTGCCCTGTTTGGGTGTCATGCTCGTTGGAATGGAACACGTCGGTGAATCCCCGCAATTTGGCTATAGCCTTCCAACGACTGGGGTGGTGGACCCTGTGGTGCTGTCCTTGAAATGAAGCTGTGGCCTTAGGGGCCCAAGCCTTCGGGGGGGCTATGAGCTATGAGAAAGGTGTGTCTTCCTCACTGGAAGCTTTGCGTTTTCTGCAAGATAGGCTTCAGAGCGAGCGGTGGATATCACTTGGCTTCCATGCCTTCTAAGCAGGCCCAGTGGATCCCAGTTGCCAGTATAGTAGTCATGGCCATTGTCCTTTTAGGTTTTTAAACGGGTGGATCTTGGAAGCCCCTTGGTTTCCTTTGTCGGGTGTGTCTTAAAATATGGATTACCCCCAACATGGATGGGGGTTTCCTTTTGGAATCCCCTAAGCCATCCAAAATATTCCCCAAAACAGACACATGTAATGTTGACCTCGGATTGATGCACCTCTGCTTATGAATATGAGGGTGTTTCCTCCAGCTATGATTTCCCAAACCCAGGGCCACCCCCGTATGAACCAACTGGGCCCAGCGATCTGCGGTTCAACCCCCATTAAAAGAATGATCGATTTAATTTGGATGATGAAACTCCTCACATGGTGGTTATATAACCCTCCCCTGGTTTCAATCCAGGTGGCGAACCGCAACTGGACCATCTGACCTCAGCATGCTTGTGGTTATACGCCCTGGGTTTCAATGGTTTGAACCCCAGGCTGGTTGGCACCGAGGCGCGGAGGCGGCGCACCGGGCGCCGGCGGCGCCGGCATATCCGGAGCCGCCAGGCTGCATACCCCGGGGGCTATAGGGAGGGGGCCTGAGGCCTTGACACCTTGTCCATGGCGTGGGCTTATGTAGGGATATAGGGCGGGCTAAGGGGTCCATGAAAGGTGGTTACCTTGGTGTAGATAGGCCATACAAGACCAGAGCCACCCGAGTCTTGGTACCTCAAATTGGTTCAAATGGGTATGATTCGTTTAATTGAGGATCCTTCAGTGGACAGGGGAACCACCAGGCACTTTGCAGATGGTTCCAACTCTTGAAATTTACCGGAAGGTTGCCTTTTTGAGGCCCCAAACCTTCCAGGTCCCCAACCTCTGCGGAGGGGTTGCTGGTGTGAGGTTCGATATATTGTTGGCCGGTCTATAGTCCATTTGGGCCAGACATGAGGGGCGAGCCACGAATTGGGGCTCGCCAAATGTCCCATGCCCTGGGGAAAACCATTTTTTGACCAAGGCTCAAAAGGGGAATTCTCATAAAACCTTTACAGCCAACTTGTTTATTAGATTTGAGATTTCAGGCGCTCTGGCCTCCAAATGGGCTGCGAAGCATCGGATTTGGAGACTAAAGTCAGTGTCTTCCATTTCCGGACACCCAAAGCTTTCCTAAGAAGTTATTCCAATATTCCATGTGCCTCGATGGGCACGGGATTTCCCACCCTTAGCAAGGAACATGGCGGTTCGGGTTGCCTTTGATACACGAAACCTTTTCAAGGCGAAGGGTGCGTGCCCGGGATTTGGCTTAGGCTAGAGTGCCTCACTCCGCGTCCCTTCCAGCCAGAGGCGCGATGACATCGGCATTTTGGCGAGAAGAAATTTGAAGAGTTGGAGCCGCCTTACAAGTGGTTGGTGGACATGAAACCCCACCGAATTCTGATGTGCACCATCTCGGGTCTAATTCAAAATCATCGATGGTGCATTTCTCGAACAGCGATGCAAGTTGTTCCGCCCTGACAGGGGGACCGCTTTGACTACGTGCCCACGATGGTCACGGTTCCGAGCGTGGAGGCGAGAAAATGTCAAAAGGATCACTTTTCGGGAGCTCGAAGGGATCATTCTCAAACGAACTGATGCAATGCTGTTGCTTGTGTTCAGAGAGTTCCCTCTTGCCTCGGTGCAGGAGGCCGAGACTGGAGAGGAGCTGCGATTCGCTCGCTGGCTGTTTTTTTTTTGTGTTGAAATGGAATGCGAGGAAACTTCACGACGGCCATCCATCCCGTTTAAGCTGGCAGTGGCCTCAAACGAAGCGCTGCCGGAAACTTGGCGTTGACTTGCAGTGCTTGAGGTGGTCGAGTCTGTTGACGTGGATGAGGTGGAGGAGTCTGCACAAGTTCATCGGTTGAATGTGCTTCGTCATTCCACATGTATGCCTGAATCCCTGCAGGATTCAGGCAAACTCCCCCCCCCCCCCCGGCCGTCAGTGATCCGGCTCCGCCCCTAAAGGGGCATCCCCTAGGCAAGCAACCGGAACTTGTGCTGAATCAAATTTGAGCAGCGCGATAAACCCAGATTATTAGCTGCAGGACGTGTTCAATGCTGCCCAAGGTGCCGCCTAAAGGGGATGCCAACATTGTGATCAACCGACCAAATAAAAGACATGGGCTTGTCTTTTGTGCATGTCTCGCAGCAGAGCCAGGACGCTCGAGCCGGGCCAACTCTGCACGCGGCGCCTTGCCTCCAAACCACCAATCAAAATCCGGGCATGTAAAGCTTAGTGGGGGGCATTCCGAGCCAGAAATTAGTTCGGTGATCCACCCTCTGATTCTTTACATGGTTTTTTAAAGAGCATTTCAATGCCAGTTTGCTTTTGACTCATGGGTACTCAGAGGGGTGTGCTTGCTAGCGGGGAACCTACGTTTGGCCAAAAAGGCCCACCATTTCAAGACGGCAAGCTCACCATTTTTTTAGTACAGGGCGGCCGCGTCAAGAGGTGAATGGGAAAGGGACCAAAAAGGAACGAGTTGCCATTTTTCGGGGTACGAGTTACTGTACAATACATTATCATGAAAGTCTGATTCCGAATGGATTGGTTTCCAAACAATTCTTCATGATTGGGGTCGGAACCTTATTTCCGTTTTCGTCCGATTCCCGCTTGGGTGGTATGTATTGTTGTGAGGGAACCCTTTTCAAAAAATGTTTTTGGAACTAAACCCCAGTTTTGGGGGGCTATATGGCCAGAAAACCAGAATTTTCGAGACAGACCCTCCTTTTTTGCGGGTTTTTTGATTCACAAGGACGAACCGAAGCCATTTGGGGGGGGGCTTACTACAGACAGGTCCAATTTATGGCTCCACTCGATGAGGTGGGTAGCTCCGCCAGTATGGCCACGGCTGCGACGAGTATCTTGGAGAAGGCAGTTTTGGTTGGGCCGAAACCGGTGATTGGTTGGCTAAGGGAAACTCGAAGGGAAACATACTCACTCCCTGAGTTCATGGACTTTAAGCTTTTTGGGAAGACCGTTGTAGTGGCACTCAGGAACCAGGTATATGAATTTCTGGGATACTTGGTAGGACATGGTTTCGTGCCAATTGCTTGGGAAATCTTGGGATTACCTGGTTATGCTCAAAGGAACGCGTTTTTTGTCGAGATTTCCTTTGGTTGGCTTGGCTTTGGAGGTAGAGAAGCCAAGTAACTGTGCGGTTAATCACTGTACTTCAGCTTGAGTTGGTTCATTTTGCGGTTTCTCAAGATGGTCCTGTGATTTTAGTTGTTTGAGGGGTCCCAAGTTCAGCAAAACCATGGAGAGCTTCGCTGTTGGTGATGGGCTACTTGAGCTTGGACATAAACTATTTAAATGTCATGTCCACCAAGGAGTCGAACCAAATACACATCAAAACCGTCCTACGGAGAAACAAACGCACAGCGTCACGTTGAGTCAGATTTGCTACGCAGGCCCGACGCCCAGAAGAGCCGGGGCCTTGCAAGCTGAATTTCGGGGTGGTCTATCCCAGATTTCGCTGCAACCTTTTGCCCACAGTCTCCACACCTCCGATGTTGGCCTCTTGCAAAGGGTTTATGGGTTTTACGGGTTTATGGTTTTCATAAAGACCCTGTGTTTGTTTTCCCCAGGTTTGGGTTGTGTTCGTGGTCGTCCCCTGGAAAAGTGACTGAATTGAGCTGCAGGTTCGTCGTCAGCTTGGACCGGGGCACGGTCTTGGGCGCCGACTTCAGCCTCAAGGCTCTCGTGAAACCCGGAACCGACGGTTCGTCCCAACCTTTTGGCTTTCCTCTTTTGGGTTCGCCTCGGGACCAAGGTCCCAGAAGTTTCCAACAGGTGAGTTTCTATTTCCAGGTCGAACTGGGGCAAGTGAGGTGGTTTACGGATGGATTTATCAGCTCCCGTGTCAAGAAAGCTTTGAAGCTTGCGGGTTCTCGACGACACGGCTCCCACAAAACGGCGCAACGGGTTTCCTGCTGGTTTCCCTTTACCCCAATGTTATAGAAGGGTGCCCTCAAAAAGCACCCCCTCATGTTTTGAACTCACACCACCTTGAAAGCATAGGCAAAACCGCCAGGTGGACAGGCTGTCAGTGAAGCAAGTCGCCCCAAGCGGTCGGGTGGCCGATTGGAATGCTGCGAACCCAGGACACCCATGGCTCAGGTTGAGGCATTTGGAGCCGGTTGGGTCAAACAAGCCTGCTCTACTCACTTGAGTTCCTGAAGTTGAACCTTTTTGGAAAGACCGCTGTGGTAATAACAAGTTTGATGTTTTTGGCCCATCCACGGAAGTGAGTCTACGGTCCATTTGGGAATGCCGTCGAAGGCCAGGTCACAGAAATCCGAATCCGACGTGATCAGCCAGTGGGACAAGAATCAATGGATTGGAGCCTAGGATAAATGAGCCTTTGGGGTGTTGTCCCTTGGGTTGAAAAAGAATCCACACTTTTGGTGTGTTCCCCCAAAATGTTCCATGTTCCACAGAATGCGCCAAAATGGGCATCAAACACTTAGTTGTCCAAAGCTGACCTTTTGACCTTTGTGTTGTCCCCTTTTGGTCCATTTCTAGTCAAGGTCCCAAAAGGTGATCACGTTTTATTTCCAGGCCCCTAAGGGGCAAGTAAGATCATGGTCAGCTTTCCTTTGGGCTTGTTTTGGTTTCCCTTAGACTGGTTAGAGAGCAGCACAGAACAAAAAGCGCAGGACTGAAGCTCAAGAAGGGGGACGAAGTGACTCAAGTGAACGGCATCTCCACTCCTCAGGACTGACAATTTCACTGGGGGTCCCTTGGACATGAGGATGTGTGTTCACCAGCCTCGGTGGCTCCCAGACATCCGGCCCCGTAGCTTTTTAGCTTTTTGGTGTTTGGTGGTAGGGTCCATTCAACCCACTGAAACTTACACTGTTAGCAGATTTGAGAGTTGAAATGTATTGCATTCCAATCAGAGGCTGTTGCCATCATTGGGCACCATTGATCCACATCGGACGTCACCCGGACTCATGTATCCCCCCCAAATAAATAACCCCTTGTTGATTTTGTTGCCCTTGAGTTTCTGAACCGCAAGCTCCATGGATTGAATGCCTAGTTTGCGGATATCTTGGGTGTGATAAGTTCAATGATTTTAATGGGTCCCGGACCGTTTGGGGGGGGGGGGGATTGATGTCCACCAAGAACCTTTGAAGCCATCAAAACTCGTAGCCACTTCATAGGGAGGGCTGCTGCGGCTAGCAGCAATTTGACAGGGCTAGGCAGGCAAAGTCCAGATCATCCTTCACCATCTTTTGAAGCGGTTCTTTGAGGCCAAATCATGTTCTGCGTGGTTTGAGCCCAGTTCACGCACTTCCACTTGTTGCCCCAATGCCTGGAACTTTCAATGAGGGTCAGGAGGCACATTCCGAAGGACAAGTTTTACACAACCAACCAGTGGTTTCCTTCACCAACGGCAGGTTGCATGTTGGACCGTAACAAGTTGAATCGCCTAAGCCTTTTGGGCTTCAAGTCTGGTCATCTTAATTCCAGCTGCATTTTTTGAGTGGAAACCTCTTTTTCCCGGATGCGTCACACCTCTGACCCTAACGTTGGCTTCTTGTGACCACATCAAGGGTGCAATCCGAAGCACCCGAAGGGTTCTGTCATAAAACACGCACACAAACACACATACCCACAGAGACACGGGCATGTGTATGTTTGTGTCTTTTTTGAGGGATCCCTTTTAGAGATTGTTTATTGTTTTTGTTTTTTGTGAAACCAAAAGGAACATTGACACCTATTTCGAGGATCCCCTCAAGAAAAAATGGACACCCACAAAGACTACGTTTGGGGCCAAATAGGTGTGAGACCCGCCTCCCTAAAACAAAACAACGTAGAAGAAGCTAGTTGTCCTTCCCAGTAAAATCACCTGAGAAAGGGGTGCCGAGTCTCAAAAAACCGGACCCCCGACCCAAATGGAGCCGCAGGAGATGTTTCAGGAACTTCTGAAGGATGATCTGCAGCTCACCGTGCAACCGCGGAAGCCGGGCCCCATAGGAGGAGTGAGCAACCAGTTGGAATTTTTGCCCCGGTGGGACACCTTTTGACTTTTCTTTCAAGCAGTTTGGAAAGCAGCAAGAAGTTAAGAGCTTGTTGCGCAGGTGAGTTATTGAGACTGTTGAGCTTTCTGAAGGGGAAGCCACAAGAGGATAGCTTTTTTGTTTTAAGAAGCACATGTTAAATCCCCCCAAGGGAAGAAGCAAGGGGCTGGCACCCCCAGTTGCCCACCGATGGCTGGGCTGATTGACACTTGGCCGTGGTGCAACTGAGGCATAAACGATCGTCGCGCGTGGAGGACATGAGTTGCTCTATGGATGGCTAGGGGTGGTTCTTGACTGCCGGCATGTTTTAGCTTCTTAGGTTTGTGATTATCATTTTTAGTGGGCTTGCAAAAACAGAGAGTTTTCCAAGCCCATACCAAGGGTTGCAAAGGTTTTGCTTCTACTGGGCCCAACCTTTTGGTTGCTTTGAATGGAACACCAGAAGGACGCCCTTGCCTTGATTGTGGGTTCCCTACTTTGAGAACCCACATGCAAGTCGTTGAAAACAGCAGCTTGCTGTCGATTTGTCCAGGATGGATCTTTTCCTGCGTGCGGACCTTAATAAGCTTTGGCTTTGCGCACGCCTTGATCACATGAGCGTTTTTGTAGGGCACATCTATTGGGGCTGGCTCAGAGCTTAGCGGGAATCCGGGTCCCCTATGTTTAAAACTTACCCAAATGCAGTTGAATGTGATTGCCTTTTTTGTAAGCTTAGGGTTGCTGAGGGCCCCTGTTTTTCCCCAGATAGCTGAAAGCTATAGGGGTTCTAACTTCTATTAAAGCGAGGAAAGGCCCCTGTTTTTCCCCAGATAGCTGAAAGCTATAGGGGTTCCAACTTCTATTAAAGCGAGGAACATGATTTGCGAGATTGACAGCTGGGTGCTAGAGGGCGTGCAGTTGGGGTGCTGGCGCAGATGCTGTTAGGGTGTGTTGTTTGGGGAGCTGTTTTTTGGGGAGCTGTTTTTTGGGGAGCTGTTTGTGGTGCTTGTGACGGTGCGGCCGCATTTTTTGCAAGATTGATGGCAGGGTGAGCGCGTGCAGCTTTGGCGTGCTGTTTGGGGAAGTGTTTGAGGTGCTGGTGACGGTGCGGGCGCATTTTGGCAAGATGGGTGCTAGGGGGGATACGTGCAGGTGACGCTGCGGGCGCAGTTTTGCAAGACTGACTGTAGGGTGGTATGGCGTGCAGTTTGGGGTGCTGGTGCAGGTGCTGTTTTGGGATTCTGTTTGGGGCTGTTTGAGTTGCTGGTGACGGCGAGGGCGCATTTTTACGAGATTGTTTGGGGCGACGGCGCGGGCATTTTGCAAGATTGACAGCAGGGTGCTAGGGGGCATGCAGTTTGGGGTGCTGGTGCAGGTGCTGTTTTGGGGTGCTATCTGGGGTCTATGCTGGTTTAATTTCTGCATTCGAAGGGAATGCGCAGCAACCATCCCTGGAAACACGCAGAAAAGTGTCAGCTTTGGAACTTGCGTTTGCAAACAAATTCATATTTGGTGGGGTGAAGACGTCCTTTTCAACGCGAGTCAGCCGTGAGAGTCACTCAGGAGCCCATCCAGCGGAATGAAAGAGGCGAGCTGCCGGCGAGTCTGTCGGCCTTCCGCTCGCGCCGAAAGCCAGGTGCCTCGCCTGAATTTGCAGCGCGCACAAGCGCAGGCCGGTGGTTTTTGTTGGGTTTTCGGAATGGAACTCCAGCAACCAAAATGGCTTGTACTATATACGGACCTCAACGTCAAAATAGCTCTTTTTCTACTGTTGTGGTGTTTATCTGTGAAGGCAGAGGCTACACATTTGCCGCGAAAGGCTCGTGCGCCCTTGCAGACTGGGAGCTTGCACCTGCCTTTTTCCCCTCTTTGTAGCAAGAGATGCTCAATGCACGGGGTTTCGAAGACGAGCACGTGCTTGGCTGTATTTAACCTAAGGCCTTTGTTCCAGTCACATCACCCGCGAATATGGGTTTGTTTGTTTTTTGAGAATGCCCTTGTATTTTTAAAGGAACACCAAAGGGAAAACCGAGGCAAACACCTCAGGCCGCAGCAGATTCGAAGGCTGTTACCGTAAGCCAGCCTTTTTCAACGTTGTAGACATATAGCGCATGCATGATGTTAGGGCATGTGGGAAGGCCACCATGCGTTTTGAGCAATGCTTCGATTCATGCTTGCCGCATCTTGGCACCGCGTTTATGTTCATGATGGTTGCTTTGTCCAAAGCACACCATGTTGCAGATCCCCTCCTGGAGACCTCGCAGTCCACAACTGCCGCAAGGTTTGTCCTCCAACTTTGTTCGGTTGAGAATCACATTTCCCCTGGTAGCTTCCATTTGGTTGTAGATGACCCTTGCTGCCACCCAAACCAGGTCACTTACACAGCTGCGAGAGTCACTCTTGAAATGCTTGAAGAGGTGTGTGTTGTGATGCAAGAGCCGAAGTTCAGGCGTTTCCATGCAGAAGCCAAGTGATGCCATTCCCTGTAGCAGTTTCCTTCAGTACAGCCTTTGCAGAGCTATATCAGCTCACGCTTTCTTTCATCTTTTTGCTTAAGATTATGTTGTATTTGTTCTGGTTTTAAAGAGAATCTATCACTCTGGAAATATTATTTGTTCCAGGGGGCTTAAGCAGCGAGGGATTATGTTTAGAAATATCCGTGTTTTTTTTTTTTCAGGGGACTGAAGCAAATGGCAGGTAACGATGCCTGTCTGCCTCTTGCCTTTTCAAATTTGTTGCTTCACACCTTTGGTGCATTGTGCTTGAATGTTGGGACTTTAACTTTTTGCCAACTCATGGGTTTTCCATGAAACCACTAAAAGTTAAACTTTTAGCAGGGGAGCAGAAAGCAACCGAAACAGATCCTCGCCTGGCTTGGCCCAGCTGGAAGCCAACCAACAGCCGCACAAAAAAATGGCTTGTTCTCAGCAGGGAATGTGGGAGGGACCCCTATCAGCCATCCCCTATGGTTGCCTTTAAGGGAATCCCAAACGGTTCATTCCCAACACCTGTAGAAAGTCATTCTCTACTGAGCACCAGCAAGACAAAGAAGTATTTTTCCATGGTTACGGGTCTCTGGGGCATCACCTTTTCAGGTTTTTTGAAAGGGACGCCAAAGCAAAACCCCTTTTGAAACTGAAGTTGCCTTTAGACCCCAGTTGTTTCAAAAGAAACACCTTGAACTCACTTGCAACATCCAGTTCCCCATGCCCTTTTGAGCGAAACCGCGCGGCTGGCGTCAGGCAGCAGTGGTGGGCCCGCGGGGCTTGCACGCCAGTCTCAGTGAGGAGCTCAAGGCGGGGGTACTATAGTAGTCCAGAGTTTGATTCCTTGTGCATTCTGATCAACTAGTGTTCTTGCGGTTTTGATCTGTTTAACCATCATTTGGGGCAATGACCAGCCATTTTGTAAGGTTCAGAAGAAGACTCCAGGAAGGCTAGGTCCCCCAGCTAGGTGCCAGTTCTTTTTTGGGGCAGGGTTCTTCTACTACAATAGACTACAGAAAAAAGGTACCCTTTTCCATTTCTTTTCCACTATTTTCAACCATCGTTCTTTCTCTCAACACCAGCTGTTTAACCGCTTTTCAACCATTGTTCTTCTCAAAACCATCTGGTTAACCACTTTACAACCATCGTTCTTCTCAACACCAGCTTTCAACCATTGTTCTTCTCAAAACCAGCTGTTCAACCACTTTTCAACCATCGTTCTTCTCAACACCAGCTGTTTAACCACTGTTAACCACTTTTCAGACATTGTTCTTCTCAACACCAGCTGTGTCCCCTGGTTTTTTCAAGATTCCCTGAAATGAAGGATCTGGAAAGAAAGGGGAAGCTTCCCCGGGAAGTAGCAGGCAATTCCACGGAGTCGTTCTAAAAGATAATCTCTGACATGCAACGGTTGTCCGTTTGCTTTCGTTGAGCCAACATGAGTCACAGTCAAAACCCGGGCACGTGAAGGTTAGCAAGGGACAGTCCCAGCCGTAAATGGTTGCGACCGCGTTCTTAATTATATACATGGTTCTGGGTCGCCATTTTAATACCAGGTTTTGATTGTCACTCACATGTTCATGAAGGCACGCGCTGAATCCAACGGTTTTGTAGAAGACCAATATCCAGGTCCAAGGACCTCACAAGGAGCTGAGAGGGAATTGTAGCTGGAACATCATTTACATGAGGATTCATTTCCACCCGCCACCTTTGGAGTGTTTGGTTTATTTTAATTTTCATGGCCACCTTAAACCTTGTGATTCTTTGTAAGGTTGTTGAGATTGTAGGAATCTCTTGCAGCACACTTGTTAGGTGTGAAAATCCCGGATCTTGTGGTGGGTGTCTCCTTGTGGAGGAGGCGTCCCGCTTGAGGGGTTCCCCCCCCCCCCCACCACTCGGTAACAAAAAACATCGGGGGGCTTCGGTTCCTTAAGTTCAAGATCACGGGCTATAGATCTTGGTGTGCGAACTTGCGCCAGGTGCTGGCCAGCCTGGAGCTTAAGCAAAATCTATGGCGCGCTTGAGTTTCTATTGGGTAACGGATCAGACTGAGGGGAGTTGGTTGCAATAATTTGGGTTTTCCGTACTGAGCCCATCATTTTTCTTTTTTAATATTGTTGCCGAGGGGTCAACAGCAACTAAGCACTGGAGTTGCATGTTGTTGTTTTTGGGGGTGGGGGGAGGGGGGTCAAAAGCGCAGGTCCTTCAATGAAGTCCCGCCGGAGGCCGGCCTGAGCTGAACCCAACCCTTTGAGGGGATGTTGTGCATTTCCCCTGGCTGTTCCTTCCCCACTAAATACACAGGAGGAGGGAGTTGATCAACTCCAGCTTTGTTCGTCCACGGGCACTACCCAAATACACTGGACAAGGCGAATAAGTTGTGGGGGTGTCTTTGTTTTGAGAGCTTGACTGGAAGGCCCAGGCTTGACACGGACACACGATTTTTCAGAGTGCCAGGAGCAAGGCCTCCAGTGATGGCGAAGGACTTCTGGCTCCGTGATGCATGTCTCATAGGTAACCAAGGGGTTTCCCAACGTTCAAGAACAAGAAACAACATGACTCGCCTATAGGGACCCATAGCTTTGTTGCCCAGTGGTGCCCTTTTGCTTTTTTTTGGGTAAGGGTTCCCTTTTAAACTCAACCACCAAAAACCTGGAATCCATTACGGTACACAACATTGGAAGGGTGGGCTTTGTGAGGATCCAGCAGCAATCTCAGCGAGTACAGCTCAGCGGCTGGAGACGAGGTTGGACCCTCAGCTTGTGAAAAGCACCAAACTCGACCCTTTGGATGGAACGAAGCTGCAGCTTTGCTCCGCGGGCATTCGAGTTCAACTCAGACAGGGTTCATGTTTTAAGGTCGATTCAAGCCCTGGGGCTGATCCGGGTGTGGGTCTGCCCCAGGGTCATCAATACAGAGAACCTGAACTCACTCACACGTACCAAGGCCTCACGGGGTGCTTTGTTTCCGAGCCCGCGCGCCTCGGCGGAGACAATTACGGGGCTCAGAGATAGAACACCAAAAGGACACCAGGCATTTCAAAGCATTGTGGTTGTTGGGAAACATATTATTTTGTTGCTTATTTGTGGTTTAGTGGGAAATCCCCACTTAACTTAACTGCTAAAATTTAAATTTTGCTCCCCTTCCAACGTCAACCAAGCAAAGGTTTCTGGCAGCTCCCGTGTCACATGTGTGGGAACGGTCCTAGGCGTTGAAGAGTCAACGCTGAAAAAGCTATCACCTCGGACGCGGTCTGTGTGGTCCAGGCGGGCAGAGACATTCGCCACGCTTTTTCAACAAGCGCAGCTCAGGCGTTTGGTCGAGCAGACAGACCTGCCGCCAAAGGCTCGACCTGCATGACGACCTTGGCCTTGGTGCACATTTTTTTTCTATGGGCATGTGCCAAAATAGCCCCCAAATAGCTCTTGTGTGGCCCACTTGTGGCTTCCCTTGTATTTAACCAACCTCAACAGGGTACCAACTCCAGAAACATAGACTTCGCGAGGACTCGGAACCCGAATGGTTTCCTTTCTGTTCGTCAACCCGCGCACATGAGCCTCAGGGCACTGGTGGCAAGCGCCGGCGGCTTAGAAACCGGCTGGTAGGGGCGGTCATCCAATCTAGTAGGGGGTTTAGAAGACCAAGGTGGCAATTGGGGATGAGGCCGTTCTCCCCCCCCCCCCCCCCGCCCCCCCCCAAAAAAACAAGAGGAAACCACAAGATGTATGGATGTTTGTTTGGGGAATAATGACACAGGGGCTGTTGAGCGCTCATGAGCTAGCTGAGGGGTTGCTTTGGCGGATGACGCATCCTGCGCCTGCCTCAGTTTTGGCTTTCGCGCCAACCTGCCTGGGTTTTCTGAAGCCTGTTGGAGGAAGGGTACCTACCCTGAGGATGTTGGTACCAACGAGCGAATTCGGGTCTTTGAGCACTGAGTGCGCGACCTTTGAGTTGGGGCTGGCCAAATTAAAGAAGCACAGCAACAACTTGTGAAGCCTTCCAATGGTCCGAAGTGACCTCTCCAATGGGGTCATGAGGGGGCCTTTGTGATGCTAAGAGAACCCCTCCAATTTGGGGAAGCCCATTTTGGTGGAGAAGCGACCCCCCCAATTCCAGGTTTAACGGGAAGCACATGTGCGTCATTCGCCTTGTCAGGTTGACCACCCATGTTCCCAGCTGTTTCCATTGAAAAGTATCCCTGAACACACACTCCAACATGGAACACAACCATCTTTTAGGATCGCCTTTTGGGGACGGCCCAACCTCTTTTTTGGATCCATGTTAATCTCGGGAGTCAGTCAACCTTCCATGTTTCACCTTTTACCAGCCCGAATTTGGGAACTCAAGTTGCCCTTTGCGAGGTCACCCTCATGGCAGTAAAGAGACGCCTGCAATGCGTCCCATTTGGTTCTTTGCAGGATGTTTGGAATCGCCTGGAGTCTGCTTTTTGGGGTTCCACCCCCCCCACCCCCCCCCAACCCCCCAACCAATCCCAACTAAGCCCCCCCCTCAACCCCCCGCCAACCCCTCCAACCCCAACGCTTCCCTTTGGGAAGGCTGGGCTTTCCCAGGGTCAGAGTTCACCATCAGCGGCAAGCCCAGCGATGAGAACCTCGAGTCGGAGGCTTCAGTTCGCGACGGGGCCGACCCAAGGAGGTTCTTAACATCCGGAGCTCTTTTTTTGTGGATTTGTTTAGGGGAGTCAAAAGGAAGGGCTTGAAGATGAAGGTGCATACACCAGTACAATATGTGTTTTCCAAAATGCTTTGAAAGTAGATTCTTTTGCTTGGACACCTGTTCACCTGAAAGGGCAGGTCCATATCTTTGGACACCTCGTGAAGTACCCCCCCCCCCCTCACCCGTCCCCAGCTCACAAATCCATTTGGCTGTGCCTCAAAATTAGAAGAGAGGACCCCGCATTTTGGGGTTGCCCTGTTTTCACCGCTCCCAAAAGGTGTGCCAACTCAAAAAAAGACACCCACTTCTCGAGGAATCTCCGGGGTTTTCGTCATTGAAAAGTGCGTTCTGGCAGCGCGCCAAGCGGCCAGGCAAGCCGCTTCCGCACCAACGCGAAGGCGCGCTCGCAACGTGTTGGTTTTTGCTTGGGGCTTGGATCTTCAGCAGGGTGTTCGGGGGTCAGGGAATCGATCGTTTTGGTGGGTTTACGTTCAAGCTGACGTAAGCTTGGCGTTGGCTTGTCTTTTGTTTATCCACTGCCCTAAGCATCAGAAAGGACCCTCCATTGGAGGGGTCAGGACCTCCATTGGAGGGGTCAGGACCTCCATTGGAGGGGTCAGGACCTCCATTGGCAGGTTTGGGACCTCAAAAAGTCAACCATGTTGAGGGATCCCAAGATTCTTCGGGTAGCTTTTCTTCTGAGTTGCCATGTCCAGACAGATCGATGTCACCTGAGGCAACCTTCCACACGACCAAGAGCTTCACCTCGGCAGCGAATCTGCGAAAGCACGTGCCGTCCTGAGATCCAACCAACTCCTTCTTTCCAGGTTTCTCGACGGAATCGGTCCCTAACGGCTGAAAGCTATAGGGTCTTAGGCTCTCAGGTGGATTTTGGGCGCGGCTAGGGAGACCTCCGGAGATTCGGTTCCAGCGGCTTGGGCTGTTGGGGCCGGTCCGACTGCACAAATAAAGCGCCGCTGCGCATGGCAGAGTGTGTGTGTGTGTGTCAAAAGAGAAGGGAATCCCGATGGTCTTCCTACAAATCCTGATGGCTCTTTCCTTATTGCTAGCCGCCTAGCCGTTCAGTTTTTTTGTGAATATGTGTGGGATTCATCATTTTGAGTAGCCTGTGTCGCCATTCAGGGCATGTTGCAAAAGGTGTTCATTTCCCAGGCCTTTGCGGGTTATTGTTTTATTGTGCAGGCCGCCGTGATTGAAGGTCCCAAGTGAATTCTAGGTGCTTCGCCCTCTAGTCGGTAGTCATTCGATCCATCTTGGGTTTTGCAGGATGGGACAGCCCTTGCTTACCACAAAAGCGGAAAAAAATGGGGAATCACTAGGCTGGTTGTGGAAAATAGTAGTTTTTAGGACTGCTTCCTGGGAATTCCCTTTGGTCGGTAATCCTTCAATCCATCTTCCCTTGGGTTTTGAAGGATGGAACTGATGGGACAGCGCTTGGCTACCTATGCAGGGAAATGAAATCGCTGGGCGCAAATTACGAGTTCAATGTACGCAGATCTGCACGGGTACTCCGCATCGGCTGCTAGGCCTCCAACAGCAAGCCCCCGGGCTTCTTGCGGCAGCTGGCCATGTGAGATGCTCGGGTCGAAGCGAAGTGGCGCACAGAAACGAGTGTGATTTTACTGTGGACCCTTTGGTGGACGTCAGTTGGGGGCCAATTCATGTTCAACCACCTCTGAGGTGGTTCCCTGTGAAAATTATCATGGGCCATCCAAATTGGCTCAGTGACAACAGAGGCTGCTGCATCGCAGCTCCATCCAGTGGTGGCGCCGGGCGCAAAGAGCAAAATTGCCAGAAGCCCCCATGGGGCATTTTGTTAAAGCTTTGCTTTCATCAAAGAGCTATTTTGGATCAAGGGTAACATAAGTAAAGTCATACTAAAACAGCCGACGGTGCTGCTTTTGAAGGGAAGAAAGCGCTGCAACTTAAAGATATCATGATTTGTTTGGACGAGCGCCTTCCTTGCTGAGTGCTTCCTAGCTTGTCTATAGACTTGAGTCGCTTTTTTTGGAGGACCGTAGTGGAAACTGGACTCAGACGTTTGTCTGCCAATGTGAGAGTCTGAGAGGCGCTTTCTCCGAGGCCATACCTTCCACCGCGGCCTCTTCCTCTTCGTCATCTCCGGCTCCTCAGCGATTTTGGCCCTGGGCTCGGAGCCGATTTTTCCGAACCAAAACCATCTCGACTGGGCGTAGTTGTTAGCCTTCAACGTGAGAAGTAGTCGTGGGAATGTCCCATGTTGCCATCACAGGAAGGGTGATTCTTCACAACCATGATAATGGCATCTCACTTGTATGGAGGGGTTTTGGATGAAAGTGACAGCTTCTGTTGATCCTGATCATGCTTCAGGTGAGTCACAACCAAAACCCAGGACAGTCCCAGCCCCAGCCATAAATGGGTGCGGATATCCCCGCCTTTTCAATTCTCCGAAGCATGGTTCTGGGGATCGACCATCTTACCCATGGGTTTTGACTCAGGCGCATAGGTGGTCCTTTTCGGTGAGTTCGCTCAGAAGCTTTGAATCCATGGGGAGCCCCTCGGATTTTTTTTCCCCAGACGCCTACCCGTCGCAGGCGGTTTGGGGTTTTGGAGCGATGGGGATCCAGTTCCATAAGCCCAGGGCCTCATGGACGCCTTCGTCGTGGAGGAGAACGAGTGGCAGGTCCTGCACATGGCCCCAGTTGCGCTCTGGACACTGGGCGAGTTATATTTTTCGACGGGTTTCTGGTATGGAAGTCGGAAAAGGTGGTTGTTTCCCTTTAACCCACCACTGAGGGGGTGACTTTGATCATGGTGAAATAATGAGGCCAGTGACAGTTATCGACATGCAAAGGGGTGTTCAACCAACGTCTGGTAAGTAGATTGACACCATGGTAACTGGGGTTAGTCCCCATTGAAGAAAAGGGACATGGCCCTTTACTTGCTAAGTCGGTTGAACACCCAAGTGGCTGTGGGTGAACATAACATCTGCACCCAAAATGGAGCCCTGGAAAGTGGAAACATGGACTAAAACCAGCACGTTCTTCCGGTGGAGAAATTCCGACCCATACCCAAGGAACTGTAGACATGATATTTTTGTAGCCCAAGAAGTATCAGGTTCGTGAGGGCCAGCACCCGGGTCCCAACCACGGCTTGAAGGTAAAACGTACAAATGTGCTTTAGGTTTGGTTGAAGAAGCAAGTGTACGGTGAGGATGGTGTGGGCGGTTTTTGTTGTGGTTTTTGGTTGCAAGGAAGAAAACCAGTACTTAATGTGTTTTTTGTTTGGTTGAAAAAGCGGGTGCAAGTTGGGACCCGGGGTGCAGGCTGGTGAGGGCTTGAGTCGAACTGTTTATGCGTTTCAGGCCGTTTCTCAACTTGCACACCACCTTGGCCTGGGCCGCAGATCAACATTCCGATCGCCCCCGGGGCAATCACGCTTGTTTATGTGGGTCTGTTCTTTTTTGGGGGGGTTTTCTTTTGCTTTTCCTTGAAGAAACGAAAAAGCAACAGTTGGTGACCTGTGGCGAAACGGATCCTTGGGATCCACGTGGGGGTTCAACTTGGGGTCTTGGCACTTTGAACTTCCGTCTCAGGCGTTGCTGAGCTGCGTCTTTTGCCTCAACGTCTTCAGCACGGCGGCTGCCTTGATGTTTTCAGCGCATGCATCGGTGTGCGTGTGTGGTGTTTGTTGTTGTGTTTAAGTATCTTTTGTTTCTTTTGTTTGAGGTGTTTGAAATCAGGTTGGTTTTTCATGGCAAAGCCAAAACAAGCTTTCTCAATTTGGTAAGGGTTCAACAAGGGCAGGCATGACCATGACCCGATAAGGATATTTGATTGTAAAAAGCGCGAAGGTTGTAAAACGTGATGCCTTTTTTGGCCAATTTTTTGGTGAGCCCCCTGTGAGGCAGTAAAAGGCGGACACTGGCACGTCCTTTTCGATGGTAATCTCTGGTGGAGTGGATTGAAAGGAAGACCAAAAGGAAACTCATCATGTGTGGCGTCCCCCAATTTTGAGACAGACCCATAGGAAAGAGGATCGGCGACGCAAACGCATGCCAAGGACCGACCTGTGTTCTGGAGAGAGCGCGAGAGCGGCTGGCGCCTCGTAGTTCGCCTCCCACTTTTGTTGTCGCCATCACGATTTGGCTGTGGTTGTCAAAGCGGCCATTTCGCAGCTGAGGTCTGAACATCGCTGCTTTCTTTGTGTCAAAGATCATCATGAACACGTGCTGCAGCTGGCATTTGGATGTGTCCTAAGTATTATAGCAGGCCCGCAAAAAATGATTGGTTTCCTGTTTGTTTCCCTTGAACACTATCCCTAAAAAGGGTATTGTCGTATCCTTAAAAAGACACCCATTTGTAAATGCGTGCCGGTCATTCTTGTGTGTTTTCAGTTGGCCCTCTGGCGCATGCTGAGGGTGGATGTGATTCTGCAGTGCTTTCTGTTAGCGGCCATCTACTACATGATCAGGCTCTGATCAAAACATGTTCGCATACAGTGATTGAGGGAAGGAGAGAGAGAGAGAGAGAGAGAGAGAGAGAGAGAGAGAGAGAGAGAGAGAGAGAGAGAGAGAGAGAGAGAGAGAGAGAGAGAGAGAGAGAGGGAGGGAGCTAGAGTTGAGAGAGAGCTAGACAGGCCGACAGACAGCAAAGAGTGAATCCGCACGCCGCTTCGTGAGGCAGCCTGACGTCTCCTTCGCGGTGTATTTTGTGCCATTTCTGCCGCTGCCTTCGAAACTTGTATGCTTGCCCGCCCTTTTTTCCCGTGTTTGTTTGTTGTTTTTTGTCGCCGAAATCTCATGCGAGGCTGGTGTCCTTTGCATCTTCGGGCCTGGGCTATGCCATTTCCACCGTCTTCCCTGCAGTGTCCAAGCCTTGGACCAGGTCCAAACCTGGAAGATGAAACAACCATCTACAAATTCTGGCTTCCCAACCAGCCACTTCCTACTGTGGATGGACAAAATCCATTTCGCACCACTTGGAAACCATGGCTGAAATCATTGTTTGTTGGCATTGACAGGCGAATCATCATTCCAGGCATTCTTAGGCGGTGCAGGATTTCGTCCATCCACAGTATGACTGGACCTTGTTGGAAAATGGATCAGTTTGGTTGAATTTGTAAATGGTTATTTCAGGATATTTTGCAGGTTCCAGGAACGACACAGCGCCTTTTCTAGCGTTTGGCAACTGAGGCACGGGCCCTTTATCGCGGCCATTGTCATCTTTGCCGCTCTGGTTTCAGATGTGACGAAACATGGGTTTGCGTCTTTTTGAGGGGTACCTCGTGGGGGGTTGCTTTAAAAGGAGCCCAAAGGGACACATCCGACACAGCCACACTGCCTTCCAAGGTCATTTGCGGTTTGTTGGGCCACCCCCTACGTGTCAGGAGCTTGGAATCCAGTCCCGTTGAGTGATGCGAGTGATCTGCTTCCTGTGTGAAGTGTGTTCTGACAATTTATCAATTCATTGTGGCCGTTGGAGACATGACCATGAGTGTTATTGGGGAACCACTGCAAAAGTGGTTTGGACCCGAATCCCCACCTAAATGATGTCCGTCAAAGGGTTCCTAATCACAATTCATACCCACATGGGTCTGTCCTTGTTTTGAGGGTACCCTGTCCCTGTTGGGGTTGGTATTAAAAGAAAACCAACAGGAACACCACCATATACACATTATGTATATTTTCTTTAGGGGGGGTCGTTTAAAAGAAGACGAGCCTCACTTCCATATTTGCTTTCAAGCGCAGGTTGAGACCATGTCAGATGGCGGATGCCTGGAGGACGCGTTCAGTGACTTTTGTTGGTGGCTTGAGATTCTGTGGCTCCAAGAATTGGAGTCCAAAATTGCACCTTGGTACATGGAACGTAACCCTAACTGTTTAATTTCGAGCCACACCCATTTGTGATTTGTGCAGGTTACAATGGACGGCCTCTCGATCACGCGGTGGAGTGTGGTAGGGCAGCCCAGATCATTTTGTTGATGCCAACTTTTGGGGGTGGTTGAACCAAGCTGTATGATGCCCCTTAGTTGGTACCCATCTTTTGGTCTACTCTTCAGGTTGTAAAGTCGTAAACGCGCTCAGCCTTCCGGTTCCTTTGGCTTTAGGTCTCAGGGTTTAGTCGGTTTAGTTGGTTTAGTCGGTTTGGGGTTTTCCATTCCCACACTTCAGATCGGATTGAACAGCCCTGGAACCGAAGGGAATCTGGTTCCGCTTCATGGCCGCGTTGCGCAGAGGCCCTGTACTGGAACACCTACTACCACGACTTGCCAGGAGCCGAGTAAGGCAGAAAGCGGCCACCATTAAAGCCGATTCGGGTAGAAGGTTAGCGGCTCCACTCCAATAACTTGTGTTTAAAGGTTCTTCAAAAGACCCAGGTGTAAGACAGGCTCAGATCTAGGTTTGTTTGTTTGCGCACTTTCTGTTTGAAGGTTCTTCGAGTTGAGGATACCACAATCAATGGGATATCCTCCTGTGACATGGCCTCTTTTTCTGGGTGCGAGCGATCGCCCAAGACTTGAAGAGCAACCGCCCGAGACTTGAAGTTGAATGTCCCCAGAAGGCAGCGAAACAGGCATGAACCACCATCCATGTTTTTTTGCAGACCCATTCAGCGCCCCATTTGAACCAGGTTTTGAGTGGTCGATGACTGGCGGAGAGACCGGGGGATGGGCCTAGGGATCTGGCCCGCTTCGCTTCAGACCCTTCAGCGTGAAGAGCTCAGATCAGGTCCATTGCCCTCTCTGGTTCGAGGCAATGATAAATGGAATGACCCCTTTTAAAAAAAAAGCCCTTTGGGTCCCAAGGAAACACGGATCTTGGGAATCCTCCAGCTAGAAAGCAAGTTGGAGAGCCATGTTTTTGAACAACTCCGTGTGGTTTCCTTCAGGGGAATGCCTAGAATCATTCCCAACACCCGAAAAAGTCATTCCATACTGAGGCTCTAAAATTCTACAGAACCCAGGCGAAGTCTCAAATAGTTCCCATGTCCGTTCCAGCACCCGGGTCCCAACTTGCCTGCCCTGTTTCCCCATGCAGCCAAAATCCCGCAGGTACTGTCTAAAAAGCAGGGGTGGTTCGGGTAACCACCATAGGTGTCCTTTTTGCTTGGTTTGGTTGAACAAATTATGTGGGATTCCTGGTTCAATTACCTGGTGGCTCCCTCATTTGCCAGGCAAACCCATCTCCTTTTCCAAAAAGGACGCCTACTGTGGATGGCCGAACTCCCTTCGCACCACTTTGAAACCATGGTTGAACCCACAACGTTTGTTGGCATTTACAGAAATCAGAAACCAGCGCAGCGTTTCTTTGGTGCGAGAAGCGGATTTCGCAACCTTCCACAGCATGGCACCCTTCCATTTGCTGAACTGAATATGCTTTATTTTCCCTGGTTGGCTTTAAAGGGAATATTTTTTTACCACTGGACCAGGGGGCCAAAGCGGAAATGGAAGTAGCTGAGGCGTCAAATCACCCGAATCCGCCCATCCAATCCGACAGGCTCGAAGCCATTCAGGGCATCGACCACATCTACCAGCGCGGTCCCCAGGTTCGTTACGCCGACGCGCCGTGGGGCCGTGGGGGCCGTTGGGATGTTTGAGGAACCCGGTTGGGCCGAGTTGCTCGGGTTTGGAGGTATCCTTGGGATCTTGGGAGCCGCGCAGGTCGTTGTTCTTGTTCTTTGCTTTCCAAAAGGGCTGAACGCGTTTGGGGGGGTCAATGGGCCCAGAAATCGGGGTGGTTCGGGATTCGGTTCCAGGCATTCCGGGACTGTTGGGAATATCACCTGGGCAAATTGTTGTTTGTGGCTGTTGGCTTCCAATATTCTCCAAGTTGGGTGCATACAATTTAGTTGTCTTTCCAGTTTCCCCTACAGCTACCAGGAAGTTCTGAAGGAGCTTTTCCGCAAAGCCAACAACACGTTGATTTCCTGTAGAATTTGATGCTGGTTTCCCAGCATTTTTCTTTCCGCCAAGGAAGCACGGGCCATTTTCAGACACCTGAGGACGCCGACGTTGGTTCCAGACGAGCTGGCCGGCACTTTGCTCAGAACGAGGATGTGAATGTTAAATGAGTTTTGTAGAATTGCGTGGGTTGTGTTTGGATATTTGAGGTCTTTTTGGATGTGTTCTCGAATTGCTTGGTTGGGTTTGGGTTTGGCCGGGTTACTTAAGAGCTTCGGAGAAGAGGTTAGCAACACGCCACGCGCGGCTCGAATCCGCTCGAATCCGAGGCATGCGGGTGGAGGTCTTCTTCCTAGTGGCCATGGGCCTTGCGCAGAGCTCGGGTACTCGCAGCCACGGCGTTATCTTGCTGGTGCTCAGTAGGCTGTGGCTAAAAAAACCGGTACCAAAATGGAACCCTGGTAAGTGGAAAGATGGACCAACACCTGCGTAACCCTTCCTGTTTAATTTTGAGCCACAGCCAGCAGGGAATGAAGGGAACGAACCTTATAAACCATCTTTTATGGTTTCCTGTAAGGGGAATCTTGGGTTCATTCCCTCATTCCCTACTGAGCACCAGCAAGTTTTCGCAGATGGTGTTGCTTGTTGGGGGTCTTGAAATTTGTGGAGTTCAGGTCTGGAGCATCATCAGCTACCTGGCCCTTTCGTGCGGATCCCGGCGTCGAACTTTCACAAACGGCTCAGAGATTCTATGGCAGTTGTTTTTCTTTTCGGATTTGACGTCAGTCTAAGGCCATGGTTGTGGAAATGGAGGTTGTGGAACCTAAGTCAGAAAATGGAAATGGTTGTGGAAATGGTTGTGGAAATGGAGGTTTTCGGTTACCACTTGCTATGCCACTGGAACCTAAGTCAGAAATTTCGCATTGCCAGTGTCTCCATCCGCGAGGCTCGCCGGGCATCAGCGACACAGGCGAGCACGCCCCTGGAAGCAGCTGGGAGCTCGATTTCGCCGGTAGGGGTCCGTTTGGGTGTGTGTCTTCCTTTTTTGAAGGGGCACCTCCCATGTTTGGTGGTTTCAAGGGAAAGCAACAGGGAAACTAAGAATGTGGAGCTCCCCCTACAAACAACACCCATGTGTGTGTGTCTGTGTCTGTCGAGTTACTTGAAGGAAAGCAAAAGGAGACCTGCATTTTGAGCTTTGGATGACTGCTGTGTTTCCCAAAAGCCTCCCTGCGGGTAATTTTTTGGGAGGACACTTCATACCCGCAGATCTCAGCTGACGATTCATGTTTGGCCCGTGAGGCGACTGCATCGCGCTCGTACCTTTGCGGACAGGCAACCGTTGCTGAAATCGGAGGTTCTCACTTCCCCCAAACCGCTACCGCGGGAGAATTGTTGGTTGCTTGGATGTTCAACCAACTTGATTAACTTGGGTTATAGCCCTGGTTATAACTCAAGTTACCCCAGCTATAGCCTTGGTCATAACCTCCTTACTAATGTTGGCACTCGATTTGTAAAGGGTACCGGAATAATAGAAAGTTGTTTCCTTATTATGGTTCACACCGATTGTTTAAGGGGACCAGAATAATAGAAACTTTTTTGGCCAGTTTTTTTTGTTTGTTTAAACTCCACAAAGCAAAAACAAAAAAACACATCCCCCCTCACAGGAAACAAAAAGAACAACTATCAGTTGCTTTACTCAAAAGCATTCCCCTTTCAATTGGTGGCCCACTTGCTTGAAAGCATCCCCTTTCAATTGGTGGCCCACTTGCTTGAAAGCATTCCCCTTTCAATTGGTTGCTCAACCACAGAACCCAAAGCCAGCTGAAACCTCTGAAATTTGAAAATCATCCCCAGCCCTGAAACTGCAAACTCTTTATTAAACCGTGTTAAACAAATGCAAAAAAACAATCAGGACAAGGGTACCCCTCACAGACCCCACTGACCTACAATAATGTGATTGTTTTAGGGGACCACAATAGTGGCAAGCCCCCAGCCCCCCTCCCAGAAAATAAGCTATCAGCTGCTTTACTCAAAAGCATTCCCCTTTCAATTGGTGGCCCACTTGCTTAAAAGCATCCCCTTTCAATTGGTGGCCCACTTGCTTGAAAGCATTCCCCTTTCAATTGGTTGCTCAACCACAGAACCCAAAGCCAGCTGAAACCTCTGAAATTTGAAAACCATCCCCAGCCCTGAAACTGCAAACTCTTTATTAAACCGTGTTAAACAAATGAAAAAAAACAATCAGGACAAGGGTACCCCTCACAGACCCCACTGAACCACAATAATGTGTTTGTTTTAGGGGACCACAATAGTGGCAAGCCTTCAGCCCCCCCTCCCAGAAAATAAGCTATCAGTTGCCTTACTCAAAAGCATTCCCCTTTCAATTGGTTGCAATACTAAAGTAGTATTCCAAAAAGTATGCTCAGGAAGAAGTGGTTGCAATACTAAAGTAGTATTCCACAAAGTCTGCTCAGGAAGAAGTGGTTGCAATACTAAAGTAGAATTGCAAAAAGGAAGTGGCTGCAATACTAAAGTAGAATTGCAAAAAAGAAGTGGCTGCAATACTAAAGGAAGTGGCTGCAATACTAAAGTAGAATTGCAAAAAGGAAGTGGCTGCAATACTAAAGTAGAACTGCAAAAAGGAAGTGGCTGCAATACTAAAGTAGAATTGGGCCCCAAAACCCTCCATTGTTTGGACGTCCCAAAAGTGCACCCCCATTGTTTTGGCGCCTCGATTGTTCAGGGGGGGGGGGGGGTGAAGCCCACTGCCCCAGGTGCCTATCCCCGGAGGGAACTGGAACCCTGTGGTAGTTGAGGTCGTTGTTGGTCCCTGGATCTATTCCGGAGAGAGTCCAATATGCCAGTAATGGATGATTGGAGGATGGATTGTCCCTGGTAGATTGTCTTGTGGATAATCCTGTAAGCGGCCTGCTGAGGCTCTTTTGTCACACGCTCGGATGATTGTGTTTCTACAAAAGGGGCCCTTGAGCCAAATGTTGCGGGAGATCAATGGTCTGAAAAACAGAACACAAAACAGACACAAATTTCTTTTGATCTCCAGCACAAAGTATGAAATACGATTGGCTTCATGGCCTTTGGCCGTAGCCTTGATGTATGCCGTAGCCATGTGTATTAAAAATGCCGGATTCATCCTTTTTCTGCTCGGATGAAATGTCTTGGCCTGCGAAATGGGAAACACTATGTACTGCTTCTTTTTGGATACCTAGATGTATCAAAGGGTGATGTACAACGCTATGTACACGCGGAACGATTGTGAAACTATTGATCCCTCACTCATGGTATAGTCTTGTAGACGACGAGGATCAATCATCTGAATTGTTCGTGGTGCTGAACGTATGAATATTCATGGTCAGCCGGATCGACGATACCATCGGCGGCTGCTGTCGGATTGACTGCCATAGTCCCCATAATCATTCCAGGTCGAGGTGCTATAGTCCTTCCACTGCTTCTGATGTCCCCACTGCTTGTTGTAGTCCTTATACTCCTGCGGGGTCCAGAATGATTGTTTCTTCTTGATGTACTCCTGGTATCTCTCAGAGCTGCGTTTGCTGGTTGCAGATTGAAGGATGGATGTGGAAGACTCCAATTGTTGCGAATGGGAGATCTGCCCTCGTTATGTGGCGGTCGTCATACTCGTGGAGTGACTTGTTGGATGACTTCGGGATCATGCCACGAAACTCATCACTCTGCTCGATGTGGAGAACGACGAATCTCCTTGTCTCGGCCATGTCCTTGGACAATGGTGCGTGTTGGCAATCTCGATCCAATGTACTTCTTGGATTCAGTAAACATGGATGGTCCTGTGGTTGCCAAGCAATCCGAGGTCGGAATTTCGTATTCGGGATCAGTGCAACTTCCTTCTGTTCCGAAGAAACATCTGAACATTCCGAATGTGGTTCCCCAATTCTGGCTCCTTGTGGAAATGTGTCTTGCCAGAAGTTCCACTCGTGCAGAAGGTCCGCCACGGACAAAGCATGCGATCGGTCTGGATGACCATTGCTTGATTACGATGCCCTTGTATCCGTATCGGATGAACGTCTTGATGAGCTCCCTGGATTTCTCATCATTAGGACTGAAGAATGCGTCTGCTTCATTCAGGCATAAGATGTGTGCACTGTTCTGCATCATCATCTTTACGATCGGTCGATCCTTCATCGGCATGTTGTGCACCTCCCTGTTCAGGGTAAGCGTGTTGATCGCTATGGATGAGGTGAACTCATGCATATTGAGATAGTCCACAGGAGGACGGGCGGTCGGCTGCATCAGCGATCCCAGGATATCGGCATAGGCTCGGATGATTTTCGGGTCATCATGTGACCTGAGCTTCTTCAATACAATTAAGCGGAAGCTTGATCGGATATCCGGATCCTGGTTGAGCTTGCTTGTACTCGTCAATGGTGGGACATTCTCCTCGATGAGGGAAGTAGAATTCTTCTTCACCGAGATTGACATCGGGATCGACATGTGCCAATGAGGCTCTCTCGCACTCTGTCAAGTTGGGATGAGCTCTTCTTGGATTTTTGTTGAACTGGTTCATGAAGCGGGTGAGGTTTTCCCTGTTCCCCGCGAGCTCTTCCTCTGCGTCCTTTTTGTTCAAATCTGTTTCGAGATAGATTTCCTTGAGTTCTTGGATGAACTCATCTAGGTTCTCTGAATTGTGATATTCCACGATGACCTTTGGCTTGACGGATCTTTCCCCGGAGGGTTCCATCATTTCTCCTTCAGTTTCGTCCTGATCGGTGGAATGCCGTCTCTTCTTGGTCTCAGAGGAAGTATCCTTTTCCTTGCTGTGCTTGGTGGAATTCACATAATTGAAGAAGGCATCGGCAAATTCGCGGATCTTGGTGTCGTACATCTCGTAATCTTCATGATCGAGATGCTTCTTCATGATCCACTTGTTGCTCGCCATGAGGCTGCCATCAGGTTCAAATGCTGCAGCAATGTGTCTTGCCTCAATGGTTTTCTCTGTCAACGCTGTTCGCTCTTCGGACAGTCGGATGCCATAGTCTTGGTCCTTGAGGAGTGCAAGGATCAACAGTGCATCTCTTCCTGCTGGCACATAGGTCAATGCGGCTTCTGACTCATCGTCGTCGAGGATGTTGTCATCGATGCATGCCATCATGCATTTGATCACGTTTTAGGCGGTCATTTGTCTCTCGACCCTGAAAAAAGGATTTCACGGCCATTTGGGGTTTTCACGGCCATTTGCGTGTTTCACAAAATTGCACGAAATTTCACGGATTTTCACGGGATTTCACGGCCTTTTGTGGATTTCACGGTCATTTCACGAAATTTCACGGTTTTTCACGGCCATGTCTGGCCGGACACCGCTTTCACGGCCATTGGGCGGTTTCACGGCCATTTTCCCCCGTGGCACACAACCCCCTAAAACACGTTCATACGCATGTCTACTGGGATAGGGTCGTACTTACGCTGGAGTTATAAGTGACTTAGCACTTAGCTTGGACTTATAAGTAACTTATCTTGAACTTAGAAAAGAGGTTTTTCTAAGTCCGCTAAGTTCATTCTAAGTTCATTGAGTTTGCAAACACATGCGTTTTGAAGCATGGCAACGATGAAGCATTACGCGCTGGAAATCACACATTTTCGTGTGACTCAACGCAGCAGGGCAGGCGCGCGCGCATGCAGTTTACGCTGTTTGTTCACGCTGCTTCGCACGCTTGGCTCGATGGAGCCGGAGGATTTTTTGCACTGATTGACTTGGTTTCATTTTGTTGTGCAATAATCGTTTCTATAGCGGTGTCTCCGCTGGCGGCCGGTCCGCCTTCATATAGTCGCATGGGGTGGTTTCTCCGCCGGCGGCCGGTCCGCCCATTTTGCTTTTCTCGTTTGATGATATATCATTGTAGCGGTGGTTCCGCTGGCGGCCGGTCCGCCAAGCTTTTTTTGCCACGTTCATTTTCATTTCGAGATGGCACTTGAAGCGGTTGTCCGCTGGCGGCTGGTCCGCCCAGGAATTGTTCGGCGTGATTTTTATTTCGAGATGGCACTTGAAGCGGTGGTCTGATGGCACCTTGCGATTTTTTGCATGTTTGGATTGTGAGTGCGCGGATGAAAGGCTGCAAGACTCAATCAAGGCTCCAGAATCCAGACTGCTGACTGCAAACTCCACACTCCAGACTGCAGACTCCAGACTGCAGACTCCAGACTGCAGACTCCAAACTGCAGACTCCAGACTGCAAACTCCAGACTCCAGACTGCAGACTCCAGACTGCAGACTCCAGGCTGCAGATTCCAGACTGCAGACTCCAGACTGCAGACTCCAAACTGCAGACTCCGGACTGCGAACT